CATATCTCCTAGTTGGTTTACCATAATAGTAAAGTTTGGTTTTGGCTTGTATCCCAACAATAAATTGATTTTTACCAATCCTGCTAAAATGCAGCAGGTGACACATAGTCTTAAATACGTGCTTGACAGTGATGCATTGGGAGGAATATTCACTGATGTTAGTCACTTTCACATTGGGACTTTGGCAGGTGAAGCTCAAATTTTGGATTGAGTCTCACCACAAACATTCTGCTGAGGTAGCATCAGTCCAGGCAGTTTTTTTGATGCCACTTCTTCACTTGCACTTTTCTCCTTCCAAATGGTCCTAACCCACTAACCCATAAGGAACAGTCTCAAGGGGCCGAATGGCCTACTTGTATATCCAGGTGCCAAATATTCCCATGCAAAACTGCTCCCAAATGATACTATTTTCTGAGAATCATTGGATAGCAGCCAAAAGTAGGAATACCAAGTGCTTCTATCTTCCTCACTACTCTCCCCTCCTCTTACCAACTCTTGACTATCCCGAACCATGGAAAACGTATGGGTTTCAATTGCCCCGTTTCAGTTGAGCTCAGCAAAGGACTGGGAACTGAACCCAGTGTCCTATGGGTCTGTTTGGCTCGGTATCACACCACACAGTCAGTCTAAAAGTATTCAGCCCATCAGTAATGTCCTGGATGCACAACAAATAGCAAAAAGTTGGAAGGAGTTTTTTCTTTGGTATGCTGATTCATTAATAGCATTTCTATATCACCTCTAACATAAGGCACTGGAGATGAAGAGAAGGGGAAGTCATTGAGTGAATTACCCCTTGAGAGAATCTCCCTCTTCTTGCCACCTCTGCAATTAAATTCTGGGTGAAGGGTCTGAGCAGCCTTGAGGAAGGGTCACGGGATCCGAAACATTAACTCTGACATTTTCTTCACAGATGCTGCCAGACCTGGTGAGCTTTTCCACCAACTTCTGTCTTTGTTTCTGATTTACAGCATCCGCAGTTCTTTCGGATTTTTTAAAATTCTGGGTGGACCACTTTCCGAACACACAAGCAATTAAGGCCCACAATTGGTCAATTAATAGCCACTTAAGGTCCTCAATTTGCTACTTCCCTGATCACATTGGTCACAGGGATAGGCTAGGTTCCTGACTGTGAACCAATAGTGTCCTACAATGGGTTGGTGGGATGGGGGGAGTTGGTGGGGGTTGTTTCCAATTACCCAAATTTGGGGTCAGTTGGACGTATGAATGACCAGCAAGTGGGTGACTCCTAAAATCCACCCCACCCACCCCCCCGCCCGGCCTTTCCTCTGACACCCTGCTGCCACATTACCACAGACTTCACCTTACCGCTGGGCGCACCCACACCCCTCCTCTGAGGACTGGCAGACTTTCAAATCTAGAAGTTGCTGGTATCTGGGTGATTAGAATTTTCTGGTGACCAGGCTGCCAATTTCAAGCCAAGTGATTGGACAAATACTTATCCTCACTCACCTGGCATTTCTTTGAGGAGCTCTTAACGAAGAAGATTGCCATGTCACTGGGTGCATTATCTTGCTCATTGTGGGGAGTGGAGTGGTCTCTTAGCTGGCACCTAATGCACTCAATCCCCTACAAACATCAGCGAGCAAAATTGGAAAATTGTGCCCATGGTAAGATGACCCAAACTGCATCACAGAAGTCTTAAATCAGATTCAGTTTGACATTTGTGCTCCTAAGGAAATATTAGAACCGATGAACTAAAACATCCCTCAGAATATTTAAGTTGCTCCTTAAAATTTAACCTCTTTGTCTGAGCCTTTGGTCACCTGCCTTAACAAATGACAAATTTCATTTCTCAAATAACAGGAGTGTGAAGTGCAGTGAAAGGGACGCCTAAATGCAAGTTGTAGTCATTGCAAACTGCCTTAGTTTTTAATTATTCAAGCTGTTTAGCTATTTCCTCTGCTCCAGTCAAGCGTTTTACAGTCTGTTTTATTCCATTTCACACTTACATGCTTGTGTGTGCATGCGTATGTTTTCGTTCCAACTCCATTCCCCTGGTTCTGTTATAAAAACAGAAAATGATGGAAATACTCAACAGGCCAGGAAGCATCTGTGGAGACAGAAACAAAGTTAACGTTCCAGGTCATTGATCCTTGCTCAGATTTTTTTTCCCTTAAGTGCTGTTTGTCTGTGACTTCAGTCGATTCTAATGAAGGGTCTCTGTCTGAAATGTCTGCATGCCCTTTCTGGATGTGTTGCCTGGTACAGTGAATGTTTCTAGCATTATTTCTGCTGGGAGTTTTCTCTCTGGGAGTTTTATCAATCCGAGTGCAGATGGGTAAGTAATATTATGAGAGGTGAGCTTTACTTCACCTGAAGCTAGGTGCTGTATGTGTGCTCTGTGGTTGCTTTAATGTGCTGGTGATGAAAAATCCTGCAGATCTTCAGATCAGAATCTACTATATTTAGACTAACATCAGTGAATATTCCTTCACAATCACAATGACTCACAGAATGTATGGGCCAAGCTTTTGGGAAACATAAAATTTGCTTTGAATTTAAACAAGTGCAGACAAACTGTGCTGTATAAGGTGTCACTCTGGACCCTCACGGCCTCACTGGTGAAGTGCAGCATTCCCACAGACACCTGGGAGTCACTGGCCCAAGACCATCCAAAGTGGAGGAGGAGCATCCGGGAAGGCGTCGAGCACCTGGAGACTTGCTGTCGGGAAAAGGCGGAAGCCAGGTGCAAACAGCCGTAAGGTGTGCGCTGCTACACCAATGCCTCACCCATCCCTTCCCACGACCACCTTCCGCCCCAGATGTAACAGAGCCTGCGGTAGCTGCTTTGGTCTGTACAGCCACCTACAGACCCATCCTGAGAGTGGAAGAGAGTCATCCTTGTCTGCGAGGGACCGCCGATGATGAATGATGATGCTAGACTATCAGATTGGTAGGAAGAATATTATCGCCCTCCTGTAGGGTCGAGAGGTAAATGTTGAAGGTAATTCCTTACATTTAGAATCTGAGTTATGAGGAACGTTTGCGGAAGTTGAACTTTTTTTTTACTTTGGAAAAAGACTTTGGAAGATCAGATTCAAAGATTGTTGGGGGGGGTGCGAAGACAGATCAGGGCATAAAAACTCAAGTATTGAGGATACAGGAAATCAGAAACAAAAACTGAAATTGATGGAAAAACTCAGCAGGGTCTCGCAACATTTGTGGAGAGAAAGCAGAGTTAATGTTTTGGGTCCAGTGACCCTTTCTGAAGATTGCAATAAGTCAAATCAAGTCCAAATGAATTAAAACATTGATCACTGGATCCGAAACATTAACTGTGTTTTTCCTGCTGAGTTTTTGCAGCAATTTCTGCTTTTGTTAAAGATCTGTGCATGTTGCACATTTTTAAAATAGAGAAAGAAAGAAATTATCTTCAAACTCAATATGACCTTGGGAAGTCCTCATATAATTCATAGCCAATGAAAGGTCTAGTTATAGGGTTAGGTGGGTACATAGATACTTAAATAGAACAGTACAGCACAGGAATAGGCCCTTCGGCCAACTATATCTGTGCTGACCGTTATAGCCATCTAAGCTAATTTAATGGTTGTCTTTTTATTCATTCATGAGATGTGGAGGGCACTTCTTAATTGCCCTTGAGAAGATTGTGGTGAGCTGCCGTTGTTGTGTAGTGAAGAGGGTTAAACAACAGAGGAAACACATTTCGAAAGAGAGTTGCTTAGGACTAGGAAGGGAAGCAGGAAATTTGACAGGAGGTTATCAGCTAACGGAGACGGGTGACATTATGGGGGAGTGTCCTTGGACTTGGGCTGGGAAGTTCAGCTCAAGGTGAATGAGGGTGTATTGATAGAAACGGAAATATCAGAATTCTCCACCCTGGCTATAGTCCCTTCCATCACCTTATTGTTGTCCTGTGCCAAAACAAAGTCTATTGCCTAAATATTTCACTGAATTGGAGGAATTTTGTTTTAAAATTTAATGCCAAATTGAAAATTGCTGGTGCACGCAAGTAGGACACTTCATTTTCACAAATGTCACAAGAAACAGGTTGCAGTTGATGTGTTAATATTTCTGTATTGCTTAGTTCCAATAGACTGTGCCTGGGTGCCTCGCTGTGATCACATGCGCTCTCTGCCTTATTGACACATGTGCCTTCATTTCTGCATTCAGAATTCCCAGCCACGGCTGTGGATGACATTTCCATTAGGACAATCCGCATTTTAAGTATGAATTTTAATCTTTTAAAAGTCTGTTTACTTCTCTGTTTTCTTTAAAAAAAAACGTTTTTATTCCTTTGGACTTGGTTTGATTTATTGCAATTTTCGTTTTGCAATCAATTTGAATGGCAGACAAAAATCTAGAACAAAATTGATCAGAGAAATACCATTATTTAAAAAGAAAGAACCTGGACCGATTGTGTTAGCCTCTTGTCCCCCTCAGTCATATGCACATTTATGAATATAAGCTGGAACTGATAATGACTTAGTTTAATGCTACCGCAGCTACTGCCTCACTCTCTGCCTCTGTTTCTCTATTTGACTGTCCTCAAGCCTCTCGTCTGTTTCTCCCTCTCTCTCCCCACCTTCCCAAGTCACTGTCGTTTCTGTTTCAGCCTGTCTCTCGCTTATTCTCATTCCCTCGGTGCCTTCTCTCCTTTCTGGTGGAAATGACTGAACTTTGCCCCGTATCTGCTGACACCCCTGACGGATTTTGAAAGCTGTGACGTTCTCAGTTGTCTGAGCTGCACAACAGGAAACGCTTTGACGGCCTCCTCTCTTCCTGCTTCAGAGAGAGAGAGAGAGAGAGAGAGAAAAAAACACCTTTTTTTTCTGCAGGGAGCCAGCTGAGATCCACACACTTCCATGTCTGCATGCTGGACTCAACCAATGCAACGCGAAGTAGCCTGATTGACATCCCTATTTCCAAGAGGGAGCCAATGGAATGACAGTGGTACTTTCCAACTTAATGATGTAAGAAATATAACGATCTGTTCTCAAGAGTGACAGTGGGGGAAAAAAAAATAGTTTTATGTAGCACGGGTTGTATTTGTCGGAGTGGGTACGTGCACTGTATATGAACTGGGATGAAAGGTGCCCAGGTACCTCAGGGAGAATTCATCAATTGTATGATACCAGGAGTACGCGTTGTCAGGTAGGCAAATTACATGTGTGTGTGTGTTTCTTTGGGTCAGTTCAGCTTACTGTGCAATTCATAGCAAGGAGGCCTCCTAATCAGACTGTTAATTTTATTTCTGATTAATCAATGCTTCACGAGTTTAAAGTTGCAGGGAATTCTCTGGAGTTTAAATTGCTATTTTTAAAAGAAAAAAAGATATATATGCGCTGTGCCAGTCAGTCGATTTCACACACCAACCCTGAGCAGCAGTGCAATTGGCTGACTTTTCCCTTCCCACCCGGTCTTCCTGTTTCAGGAACAGGTACTTTTTTTTGTATAATTTTAAAGCAAAAACGAGGCGATGGTGGATGTACAGTTGCTGAGGAGCTGGTGCAGCGGAGGAGATCTATAATTAGAGGCAAGAGGAGGGTCGTCAGCAAGTTCAGAATCAGAAGGCAGAACTGTCGTTGGCTTTTAGTTTTGTTTTCGTGCATGCACTGTAAAGCGGTGGGGAGCTTTGCTCTATCATTTTCCTCCTCAGCCGTCACCCGCCCCTCCGCTTTCCCTGATATATATCGAATGTGCAGAAGATGGTTTAACCTTGTGTCAGGATTGGGTTCCTGTCGGTGTATGCGCTTCCTAGGAGGGTGGGGTTTTGAGGGAGGGAGTGGTGGTACGCAGCAAACAGTGTACTCAACAGTTCACTTAGAAGCATGAGAGAAAACATTTTATGCCTGCACCTGCTTTTTTTAAAAACGAATGTGCCAGACCCCTTTCTAAACAATTGCCTGTAGCACTAGGGAGCCTGAAACAGCTTGCTTATACATTGTGTTTCAGCTGCCTTAAGTTTTTTTTAACTCATAAAAAAGTGTCACTATGCGTCCTTCTCAAAGGGCTGGGTTAGCAAATGCATTGCCTACCCCCATGAGCACTCCCTCCATCTCTTAGCCGCCCCAGCCTGAGGCGTATTTGAAGGTGCTGACTCATGCTGGGGATATAACCAACCTCTCTCACAGCTGGACATTCTTCATAATGTGTCAGGATGGGGCATGTTGCAGTGCTCAGAGTATGTCTAAAGATATTGTGTATAAATACAATGTGTGCACGTTTGTGTGTGCACACCTGACATGAGGTCATATATATATCTGTGCATATTGCACATATGTGCATATAAGCACATTTGTGGGTATATTTATGAATGTATGACATTATCAAAGGCAAATTTTATGGTTTGAGGTGCCCTTGTGCACTGAGACATCCTCAAAATACTTACCAGGAGTGTTATCAAGTAGTAAACCACTGATAAAGAAACTGGGCCAGGTTACCAAAAGCTTGGTAGCTTTCAAGGTGTGTCTTAAAGGAGGACTGAGCCAGAGACTTTTAGGAAGGGAATTCCTGGGGGTATGGTCTAGGCAGCTGTTGGGAAGGAGTGCAAATGATTGGCTTAGGTGGCAGGCAGATGTCTCGGAGCATTGTAGAGCTGCAGGAGATTAGAAGTAAGGAGAGACGACCTGAGGGATGGCTTTGAATTAAAGGATGAGAGTTTTAACATTAAGGTGTTGCTGTCCTAGAGGGTAGTGCAGCTCAGTGAGCATGGGAGAGTGCTGAAAGTAAAACTGTACAAGGTATTAGTGAGACTGTGCCTGGAGTATTATGTATAGTTTTGAGTCCCCTACTTGAGGGATTTTGTACTGGAGGCAGCTCAGAAGAGGTTCACTAGATTGATTCTAGAGATGAGGGGTTTGTCTTTATGAAGAGAAAGTTTAGGCTTGCGTTCTCTCAAGTTTAGAAGAATGAGAGGAGATCTAATTGAGGTATATGAAATGCTAAAGGGGATGGACAAAGTAGACATGGAGAAGATGTAACCTCATGGAGACAATCTAGAATGAGAGGTCATGATTTTAGGATAAGAGATAGCAGATTTAAAACAGATGAGAAATTATTGCTCTCAAAAGGTTGTGAATCTGTGGAATTCACTCACCCACAGTGCTGGGATTTTGAATAAATTTGGAGGAAGAGACAGATTTTAAATTAATAATGGGTTTATCACTGCTTCATTTGACCCCTGCACTGTGAATGATTTGATGGGCTGTGTAATATTTATTACTAAGTGGTGTTATTTACAGTATGTGAATGAATGTGTGGCAACATTGCGGAAAGGTACAATTGAGTTATGAGATTAAGTGTGATCTTTCTCAATAGTGGAACAGCTTCAACTTTAATTTACTTCATTCTTTCATCAAATATGGGCATCACTGTCAAGGCCAGCATTTGGGAGCCAAGTTGGCTCTTAACCCAGTGGCTGCCTTGGCCATGTCTGAGGACAGTTATGAATAAAGCATGTTGCTGTGCAGTCATGTGAAGGCCAGACAGGGTAATGATGGAAGATTTCCTTCCCTTCAAAGGACATTAGTGAAACAGATGAGTTGTCAAGATTGCCATTAGTGAGATTACCTTTCATAAATCGAATTTAAATTCCACTAGCTGCCTTGGTGGGAATTGCAGACATATCGCAGGGCATTAAATTGGGCCTTTAATTTAGTGACATTAGCATTATGCCACCATTATCCCAAAAAATCAAATCAAATGACCCACTGCAGCTCCTATTTTCTCTCCTTAGTGTCTCTCGCATTCAGTACTAAACAAGCAGTAAATTTGCCAATTAAATATGGGGATGAACAAAGCTATTGTCTTTTGCCTGGGTCATAATCTGTGTATTCGGTTGATCTCCTGTGTCATTGCTAGAGGATCGACCAATGCTTGCACCATTGGCCCTGAGCATGAGTTTCTCATGTTTTCCACATCGCGAGTGCCCACCATCTCACCCCTACTGCTGTTGAAGCTCTTGTCCAAGCTGACCCACCCTCCAGTCTCAGTTATACTACCATGCCTCTGGTCAGCCTCCCCACCCTCCTGAGCTCTTCCAAAAATCTGCTGCCTGACACCAAGTTCCATTCACCCATAAGACCTGGGAGCAGGAGTAGGCCATTCAGCCCCTCAAGCCTGCTCTGCCATTTAATAGGATCATGGCTGATCTCATTTTGGCCTCAACTCCACTTTCCTGCGTGGTCCCCATAACCCTGCAACCCACTGCTAATTAAAATTCTGTTTATCTCCTTGAATTTACTCAATGTTCCAGTATCCACCATAGTCTGGGGAGTGAATTCCACCCAGACCCTTTGCGAGAAGTAACTTTTCCTCATCTCTGTTTTAAATCTGCTACCCCTCATCCTGAAACTATGATCTGTTGTTCTAGATTGCCCCACATGAGGAAGCATCTGCTATAAGTTTACTTTATCAATCCCCTTTAGCATCTTCTATATCTCACTTAGATCTCCTTTCATTCTTCTCAACACCAGACAGAATCAACCTAACTTGTTCAATCTCTTTCCTTTGGGATCAATTTGTGAAGCTGCTCTGAAATGCCTCCAATACAACTACGTCCCTACTCAAGTAAGGGGACCAAAACTATGTAGTATTCCACATATGGTCTGTCTAATGCCTTGTACAATTGCAGCAACACTTCCCTATACTTAGACTCTATTACTTTAGCAATAAATGCCAAAATTCTATTTGCCTTCATTATTACCTGTTGTACTTTTCTGTGATTCTTGCATGATGACACCCAGATCCCTCTGCACTGAAACGGTCTGAAGTTTCACTCCATTTAGATAATAGGTTGCCTGTGACCAAAATGGATAACCTCACATTTATCCATATTAAACTTGGCCCATTCGCCCAACCTACCCATATCCATTCGTAAATTTCTTATTTCACTTTTGCAACTTGCTGTCCCACCTGATATCGTGTCATCTGCAAATTTAAGCTCTGGTCCATTTCAATCCCTGCATCCAAGTCCAAAATACAGATTTGTAAATAATTGGGGTCTGGGGACCGAACTCCATGGCACCCCATTTAGTGCCAACGAGAAAAAGACCCATTCATCCAGACCATCAACTTCCTGTTGGTTGGCCAATCCTTTATCTTGGCTAATAAATTTATCCCTAACTCCATGTGATCTTGATGGCCAGTTAAGTGCTTCCCTTTACTCCTACTGTTTTTTTTTACCCAAGGCAAATGTGCAGCCAATCTAGTCATGTCTATAAGAGGTTATTAAATGCAAACAACATGCTTTCTAAGTGATGCAGTGCTCTTGTTTATATATGTATATACAGACAGATTCCCCTGCAGATTAATACCTTGTTAACATTCCCTGCCCACACTCTAATGTGAGGGCTATAGAAGGGCATGCAAAGTTTTAATATTGATTGCCATGTTCTGCATAACTGAACTGTTCACCCTTTTTTTTTGAGTGCCACGGGCCCAATGTTCGTGAAATAACCTTTTAAAAATAAATAGTGTTGTCTGATTGTGGAGAACAAGTCAAGTTGTACAGTTTTTAGTGAAGGTGGTCTCGGCTGCCTGCCTTCAGTCGATTCCAGATTCCTCTCGACTGACCTGTTGTTACCTCAGAGTAAAATCTCCCCAAAGGATGGGGAGGAAGGAGACTGCAGCACAACTTTGTTATCCTGTTGAGTATCCTTAGCTGTGTTGATGGCCTATAAGGTATTTTTACTCAACAGTTGCTGCACTGTGTGCATTCCAAGCGGAAACTATATTACCACTCCTTTAGCATCACAGGATCAAACTCCTGGAACACCCACCCTAACAATATTCTTGTGTCCCTATTTCATAGCATTTTAGGAAGGTGGCTCATCACTGTCTTCTCCCAGACAATAAATGATGGACCAGCTAGCAATGCTCAATTAATTTTTTTTTTAGCAAAAGCACACCAGTTTCAGGAATTAATACATGGGGACATTGAGTGCGCAACATAGAACACAGTCTAGTTTAGCACAGGAACAGGCCCTCCGGCCCACCATGTCTGTACCAATCACGATACCATTCTAAACTAATCCTATCTGCCTGCACATGGCCCATATCTCTCATTCCCTGCCTGCTCAGTGCCTTTTAAACAATGCTGTTATATCTACTTCTAACACCTCCCCTAGGAGCATGTTCCAGGCACTGACCAC